TGCTGTGTTCGACCGCGACCAGAACCGGGTGGGCTTGGCCGAGGCTGCCAGGCCATAGCTGGCTCCCTGCCCGCTGGCAGAGTCCGGAGGAGGGTCGAGGAGGAGAAGGCCTCACCCCTGCCCTCCCGGCCACCCCACCCCGCCTCACACTCGCACTCACAGCACAGCTCTCTGGAGGCCGCCCGGGTTCCGTTCTGTGGTTTCCCCCTCCCTGGTTTCGGAAAAGCTGCCTGCTTGTCTGTCTGTCTGTCTGCTGGAGGGGCGGGCCGGGGGCAGAGCCAGTGGGTGGCTGTGGTGCACAGGCTCCTTTCTCTAACTTGGAAGACCTAGCCCGCTGGGCAGCTGTGCATCCTAGGACCCCCAGCCCCGGGGTAGTTCCCTCCCCAGCCTGCACCTCGGGGGCCTGGCCACCCAGCACCGTCCAGCACCAGGCTGCACTTAGTCGCCCCTCCGTGCAGCTTGGGGCCCGGCACCCTGCACTGCGGCCCCCACCCGTCTGCCCTAGACCCTGCGAGGAAGGGGCCAGCTGAGGCCTGAGGATGAGCTGGAAGGAGCTGGCAGGGGTGGCAGGGGACAAAAGCTAGTCCTGTGAGACCTCGGTGGGGTCATCCTCCATCGTGGGGCTTGACTCCATCGTGGAGGACATTGAGGGCGTTCTCTGGCCTGGGGGTGGGGTAGGAGGGGAGGGGGCTGGTGCCGGCCTTCCCTGCAACTGCCCCCTTCTTGAGTTGCCGGGAGCAAAGTTGGCATGAAAATAAAATTTGTCTAGGCCTCTTACTGTGTGTCGGCATGTTTTGTGCTTGGTGGGGAGGGTGGTGGGGAAGGAGCTGGTGTGGCTGATGCCCTGCTGTCACTTCAGAGGGAGGGCTGACCCAGCTACCCTAGGGTGCACCTCTGGGGTTGCCCCGGGCCTGGCTCACAGACCCAGACCCCAAGACTTTTGCCCCCTGCCCAGCCTCGTGGCCGAGACACCTATGGTGGGGGACTGGCTTGTATGGGGGCCTGGAGCAGTGATCAGCAAGGTGGGGCCCAGCACAGGGCTGCTTATGTGAGTACCTTCATGGAGGCATGATTTTCAGGTCCGGGTGAGTGTCCTCCATGTTTACTTGGAGAATGTTCCACCAGCAGTGGGGCCCCGCAGTGTTCCCTGATCCCCCTGCACACATGATTCCAGCCTAGGAAAGAGGCCTGATGGGGCTGGTGGCACCTGGGCAGCCTACCTCATCTGGGCCTCCTCACCAGCCCCTGGAAGCCGTATCTCTGTATGTGAGCCATGCCGATGCTGGAGCAGGCCAGCCTGGGGTCCTGGGTTTGCAGGGATCCAAGTTAGGAATCCCCTCAGGCCACAGTGACTTCCTGGCTGGTCTGGCCTGTTTGGTGGGGGTAGGCGGGGGTGGTCAGAAGCAGCTGCACAGCCAGGGGGGTTTGAGGGATGAATAGGAGTTTGTGAACACTTGGTGGTGGGCAGATTCTTCAGGAATGGGTAACTGGAACCCACCCCCTGCAGGTGTAGGGGTCTGGCTGGTGTGATATTCGTCGCTATCCTGGTGCCTTCTCAGCCAGCAGGGCTGTGGCTGTCACTGACCTGGCCCCAGGGGGCCCAGGGGCTGCACCCCAGAGCTGAGCCCTAGCAAGCGCCTTCCAGAATTACGAGAATCGTGAACACGTGCCCGGTGTTGTCTGCACCTGAAACTCGAGCTGGGAGCCGGCAGAGCTCTGCAGGGCTGCAGGGTTTCTGGGGAGCCCAATCAACGCTGGTGTCTGGGAGGCCCGCAGGACAGGGCTGCCAGGGACGACGCACCCCTCCCCTCACCCCCTGCCCGTTGACCATCCGGGGCCTGCTCTCCACTCTGTCTCCCTCAGCCTCCCACCACCCGAGGCCAGCAGGGGCTCACCGACTCACGGGCCCCTGCTCCACCCGCCCTGCTCACCGTGACCCTCGGCTGGAGGGTCCTCCCTTCTGGAACACGGGGACGAGCGTGGCGGGACGCCCCAGACCCCTGGACACTGTGTGGGTTAGTGCAGGCCGAGCCCCCAGCCCCTAGCCCAGACCATCAGGGCGTTGATGTCCTGCCCAGAGTCGGGCCAGTACAGCCGCCCTGCGCTGCCCCCCGGAAGACCCATTCAGCTGGCCGGGATTCTCCGGACCCTGCAGTCTGAATCTGGGCTCAGACCCAGCTTCTGTGACCCGAGCCAGAGCCTGGAGTCTCTGTCTAGGGAAGGAGGGTGACAACAGGGACCTCTTCGCGCTGGGCCTGATGGACACGATGAGGACCCCAGCACAGGGCCTGGCGTTCGGATGCTCCAAACACTGGCTCTCGTCCTGGCTGGCTCAGCCCTGCTCGGCACCAGCCCAGTGGGCCCCGGTGGGCGCTTCCCGCCTGGAGGACACCCAGCCTCGGGCTGAGCTCTCTGGAGCCCACCTGAGTCCAGCCCCTTCCCAGCGGCCTGCAGCAGGCTCCTGTGGGCCAGGCGCCCTCTCCTGCTGCCTGAGGGCCAGCTGGACGCGAGGGCAGACCAGCCCGTGGGCCGCTTACAGCAGCCTGTACAGCCCTGGGCAGCGCCTGGCCCAGGGGACACCAGGTGGCCTAGTTCACAGGCCACTCACAAGCCTGGGAGGGCCCCTTAGGTCAGACTCAGCCCGACTGAGGTCTGGTGCCCGCAGGCCAGGCCCTTGGGAAAGGGGCAGTGGGGTTTGGATGAGGGAGACTGAGCCCCGGTTCCCCGCAGTCCCCATCTGCCCTCAGAGACCTGTGGGCCCTGAGCCTGGGCCCTGCTGCGGGTGTGGTCAGGGCGGGGTCAGCTTTGCTTGGGAACCCCGCCCGCTTGAAGACGGTTTTATCCACATCCTTAAAGCCAGCTCTTGCGCTGCGGGGTTCCTGACCAGCCCCGAAAGAGGCTGTACCAGGGTCAGCCAGGGAGTGGGGGCGGGGCAGGGGAGGGGCCTGGAGCGGGAGTGGGACGTGTCCAGGGACCAGGGTGCAGAGAAGGGCTCAGGCTCAGAGCGCACAGAGACTGGGGAGAGAAGTGTTCAGAGAGGGCCCGGCACAGGGAGGCGAGCACTCCGAGGAGAAGGGGTCCCTGAGAAGGACCCAGGCTGGGAGGAGAGAGGGTCGTGGAGGGAAGGGAGGCCGGTTGAGAGGGTCAGAGCAGAGCCGGGCTTCACGGGAGGAAGGGCTCAGAGCACAGCCTGGGGGGAGAACAGGGGTTCGAGGGAGACGAGGGAGGGAACAGGCTGCCACACAGAAGGGCAGCTTCAGGGGGTGGCGGGGTTGGAGGTTCTGGGCTCCATGGGGGCCGGCAGATGGGTGAAGAGGACCCAGCTCAGAGAGGGCCACTGCGCAGTGAAGTGGGGACTCAGGGCGCAGCAGGGGGGCTGGGGTTTCTCCATGGCAGAGGGTATCCTTGGGACTTTTGCAGGAAGGGGAAGCCACTTGGGGGCAAGTGTCAAAGAGATAATGAAAGCAAGGTGGGGTAGACGGGGGCTGGCAGGCTGAGGCCGGGGGTGGGGGAGGGACTTGGGGGACAGAGCATCCACAGGGTGAGACGGGCCGGGCTTGCAGAGAGGCATGGGCAGGTGAGTGGCCTGGACTCCAAGGAGACCGGTGTTATAGGGGCTTGGAGAAGGACACCTGGTCCCAGGGGCAAAGGTTTCCAACAGGTTACGCGTCACAGTCTTCAAGACTGGACTTTGGCGGGCAGCCACGTTATCGAGCGTGGAGCTCAGGGGCTCTGAGCTGGGCACCCGTGAGTCCGATTTGGGGAAAATATGGGGGCAGGAACTCCAACGGCGGTGGGCTCAGGAAGGACAGGGCTGTGAGGGCGGCCTGGGGGCGGGGCCTCAGCCAGGGATTGGGATTGCGCAGAGCTGGGCACTCCGGTGGGGGCCTGGGGAGGTGCACCCTGCTCAGGGAGAGACTGCAGCTGGGGTCTGGGGGCTGGGAGGGGCCAGAGGCTCAAGGAGGACAGAGGCCCTGGAAGGGGCTTGGATAGGGTCTAGGGTCGTGCGGGGACAGGAGAGCAGACAGGGGCCGGGCTAGGCATGAGGACCCGCTTGGTGAGGACAGGCTGGAGGAGGCACCTGGGCTCTGTGGGTGGAGGGGCTTGGGGAGGCTCAGACACCTACCGGGCCTGGCACTGCGAGGTGGGTGGAGGGCCAGGACTGAGGTGCGGACAGAGCCGGGGGGGAGCAGGAAACTCAACAGGCGGAGAAGGGGCAGCACCCAAGGGGAAGGGGCTCTGACACGGTCCTCGGAGCTGCGGGGGGAGCGGAGGGGGAGCACAGAAGGAGGAAGGGGCTCTCCCCTGGGGAGACAGATGCGAAGACTCAGCGAGGGGCTGGGGGCTCAGCAAGAGGGAGGGCGCAGGGGGCGGTGTCCAGGAGACGCGGGTGGCGCGGGCACCGGGGTCTGGCGCTGCAGCGGAACCCGTGCCTGGTCGGCTCTGCCACCCCGAGGGTCGCCGCTTCCGGCCGGCGCCCGCTGCCCCCACCCAGCCGGCGGGAGGGGGCGGGGAGGTGGCTGCGCCCGCCGCCGCCGCCGCCAACGTGAGTCAGGCTTGGGCTGCAGCCGGCGGCCGGCCTGGCGCTGCGGAGGCAGCGCCGCCACCCCGCGCCCCTCCCCGCCGCCACCCCGCGCGCTTCCCGCGCTGAGGTCGGGCCGCTGGGACGCGGAGCGGCGGGACAGCCAGACACCCGCGGGACGGCGGAAGGACGCGCGGAGCGCGGCGCTGGGTCGGGCCAGGCCGCCGAGGATTCGCCAGTAGGTGAGGGCGCGCCGTCCGGGCGGCTGCGGCAGACCCGGGTCAGGCTGCGGGCCTGCGGGGCCGCGGGGCCTCGGCTGCGGACCCCCGGGGCGGCGCGGGGCGCGGGTGCCTCGTCGGAGAGTGTTCGTTTCGCAGAGTGTCATTGTGCGTCCGTTCCCGGCACGGGGCGAGTGACCCGCGGCGAGTGCGCGCTCTTGGGGTCCGGGCGCCGCTCGGGGCCGGGGTGTGAGGGGGCGATGCGCGCGGGTTCGGAGCCCCAGCGGCCGCCGTGCTCATCCTCGGGGGATCGTGTCGGGGCCTGTGTCGCGGTGTGAGTGTCACAGTGCGGGGTTGTTTACCTGGCGGCGTCTCTGAGCGCTCGGCGTGTGCCGGGGTCTGGGGAGCCGGGTGGTGGTGCTGGCGTTTGTGTCCGATGTGACAGCGGGAGCCAGCGCGCAGGTGCTCCGGGGAGCTCTCTTCCTTCCGCCAAAGAGTGACTGAGGCTGTGTCATTGTGGGTCTGCGTGCCCTGTGTGTGCCGGGCTGTCTGGGGGTGCTGGTTGCTCTGTTTACCGCAAGAGTGTGCCAGTCGGGATGCTGGGGGGAGCGCTGCTGTTGTGTGTCAGTGGGTGACTATTTGTGCGCAGATGGCGAAGTGACGAAAAGCCCCCGACGTCCCTGCCAAGGCTGCTGTGAGGGCTTCGGCATCTGGGATTGTCCTGGGGGGCTGTTTATGGGGCCAAAGGAGAGACACCGCAGGGTGCCAGGGTGGGCCCAGTAGGGTGGTCCGGACCCGGCTCATCCTTCCTCTCCCCCATCCTGCAGGCCCAGGGCTCCAGCCAGTGCCCAGCCCCGCTGGGAGCCCCGGCCAGCACCACGGACGGCACCCAGGAAGCCCGAGTTCCCCTGGACGGGGCCTTCTGGATCCCGAGGCCCCCGGCGGGTTCGCCCAAGGGCTGCTTCGCCTGCGTGTCCAAGCCCCCCGCCCTGCAGGCTCCAGTGGCCCCCGGGCCTGAGCCCTCAGCCTCACCCCCCATGGCACCCACCCTGTTTCCCATGGAGTCTAAGAGCAGCAGGACAGACAGCGTGCGGGCCACCAGCGCCCCCCAGGCCTGCAAGCACCTAGCAGAGAAGAAGACCATGACGAACCCCACGGCGGTCATCGAGGTCTATCCCGACACCGCGGAGGTGAACGACTACTACCTGTGGTCCATCTTCAACTTCGTCTACCTCAATTTCTGCTGCCTGGGTTTCATCGCCCTGGCCTACTCCCTCAAAGTGAGCGGGCGCGGGGATGGGGGGGGGCAGGGGGAGCAGGAGACGCGGGTGCTGGCTGCATCACTCTGCCCCCTCCCTCGCAGAGAAGCACATGGGTGCAGCGGAGCGGCTGAGGGATAGAAGGATGGTGGGGGACCCAGCGAGACACGGATGGCAGCCAGCTCGGGGCTGGCAGGGAGAGCCAGCCCATCCTGACCTGAGCTGGGGAAACTTCCAGGGTGTCTTGTCGGGGCTCGGGTTCCTCAGGGCCAGGGTCTGTGCACAGCGAGTTTGGTCTGTGGGGTGGGGACCTGGGACTCGGTGTCCTGTCCCCTGGGCGGGGGACGTGGGAATTAGGCCTGGGTGAAGCTGTCCCTAGGCATAGGGATGGAGCCAGCAGGGAGATGAAGAGGCCTTGGAATCCTTCCCCTGTTGACAGGAGGAGGGGTGACGTCATTGCTGGAGACCTTCTTGTCCAAGCCCCTTGCAGGGAACCTGATGCCAGGCAGGCACTCAGAGGGAGGCCGTGACAGACAGACGGGGGTGCTGACCCGCAGCCACTGCTCTGCCTCCCCTCACACACGGTTTCTAGATGGTCCATCCCGGGGGAGGCTCTGTGGGAGCCAGGAGCCCGGGGGAGGGAGGTGTGAGGGTGTCCCATACACCCTGACTCCACGCCCTCAGTGTATACAGCTTCCAGAAGCCCCTTGCTGCTGTGAGAGGAGCTGGCTGGGAGCACAGCAGTGTCCCAGGCAGACAGGACCCCATCCCCCCCGGGGTGGGGGCAAAGTGGAGAGAAATGGACTGAGATGACAGGAGGGGAGCTGTGATTGACTCGCACTTGGGGTCTTGGGGTCGGGAGATCCATGCAGGTGTGTAAGGACCCAAGAGCCTGGGGCTGCTGGAGCCCAACAAGCAGGAAGGGAGGGGTAGACTCAGGGCCTCGCTCCCTTCCCACCACCCCGGAAGGGCCTGGCTCACGTCTCGCCAGATCATCACTTTTCCCGAGCCCTGATCTGAGTGTCCAAGCCCAGGCGCATTTCACTGATTGCAGCTGCCCAGCGGGGCGGGGGCAGAACACGGGGCGGGGTGGGGGGGGTTGCTGGAGGCCGAGGAGGGGCTGGGCCCGAGAGGCTAGCCTGGGGGAAGGTGCTGGGACAGCTCTGCCTCTGTGCGTCTCTGAGCACGGAGCCCCCTGCCCTGGCATCACACGCTCTGGCCACCTGGTCTTCTTGTCCTCCTGACTCATCATTGGCATCACGATCACCCACCGCCTTCAAATCCAGGCCTGTGTACCCAGCCCTGGGCTCCACATGGACACCGTGTCCCTTGAGTGTGCGTGAGTGTGGGCACATGTGTGAGTGTGCACGTGTGCACGAGTGTGTGTGCATACAGGTGTGAGCATGTGTGTGTGTGTGCGTGAGCTGTGTAGGCATGAGAGTGCATTTGTAACTGAGTGTGTGTCGGTGGGAGTGTGCACGTGTGTGTAATTATGTGTGTGAGCATGCATATAGGGGTGTGGGTCTGCCTGTGTATGTTTGTGCGTATTGTGTGTGCATGCATATAGGTGTCAGCATGCATGTGTGTAATTGTGTGGGAGTGTGAATGCATGGGTGTGCATATGTGAGCGTGTGGCACGTGTGTGCACGAGCGTGTGCCTGCATATAGGTGTGAGCATTTGTGTGTGTGTGCATGAACTGTGTAGGCATAAGAGTGCACTTGTAATTGTGTGTGTGTGGGTGTGTGCATAATTGTATGTGTGGGAGTGTGAATGCATGAGTGTGCATATGTGTGTTGCACGTGTGTGCACGAGCATATGCCTGCATATGGGTGTGAGAATGCATTGTGGATGTGTGTGCATGTGTGTAATTGTGTGTATTGTGTGTGCGTGCAGGGGTCCCTGGGAATTGGGGGTGAAGCCCCCAGGCCAGCCTCAGCTCTGCCTCCCTGGGCCCTCTTGCCTGGCCCCACGAGTAGCCTGTGGACCTGGGTCCGGCTGCGTGTGCTCCCGTGGGCAGCTGGCTGGCACAGGGCAGGTCCATCTGCTGCGGGTGGTAGGTAGGTCACAGATTTCTGAATGGTTCAGGATCCGCTCTGCAGTGCGGGGTGGGAGTTGGTGCTTCTAGAGACAGAAGGGGATTCACTGTGCCTGCAGCCCGGCTGCTCCCTCACATCCTTCCTGGGCGTTAGCAAGGGCAGAAAGGCTTGGGGCTTCCCTGGGAGGGGTGAGCAAGGTGAGCTGCCTCTGTCCAGGGCAGAGGGGAGGACAGACCTGGCTGGCACAGCCTCCCACGCCTGGGAATCCGTCCATCTGTCCGTCCAGCTGTACGTCTCCTGGCCTGCTGCACCCTACATCGTTTGCAGCCGTCCTGGGCACTTCCAAGGGCACCTGATGGCCTTGGGGTCAGGAGGCCTTGCCTAATTCCCCGTATGGCCTCTTAAAAGCAGTGATCTCGCTTCACTGAGCCCATTTCCTCATCCGTTCACAAAACACAGCAAAACAAAACAACATTCAAATAAGCACAGAAGCAGGGCGGAGGCTGGCCTTCGGGTGAGAAAGAAGCGCTGTGTCCCTAGCTGTCCCCGTCTGTCCCCACACGCCCCGCCCCCAGGGGCACCCTCGTGGGCTCGGCCTGGTGTCTGGGGATGGCACAGACGCAGAAGGCCAGGTCTCCGTCCGTGCAGTCTGCACGAGGTGCTCACCATGGCCCCCGGCTCCCCTTTCTCGGTCTGGAGAAGTCCAGCCTCCTCATCTTGGCATTCAAGGCCCTGCATGACCCACTTTTAACCCCTTCCCTAAGCGAGCTCCCCGGGTGCGCCTGGCTGCCCCCAGCCTGGGGCCTTTGTGAGGCCCGGGTTGCCCCTACCCCCAAAGGCTCTGCTGCCTCCCTCTGGCTGAACCTTCCTCCCCATCAGAGAGCCCCCGCACTGACCACAGCTGCCCACCCCTGACCCAAGGCAGGGCTGACCAAGTTGGGGGGCAAAGGATGCTGGAGGAATGGGTGGATGGACAGAGGATGCATGGGAAGATGCATACGCACCAAACATTTCAGGAGAAGAACACTTCACTCCCAGCTTGGGCGTGAGGTTGGGGTCAGCCCCGGACACTTCTAGGGGAGGCAGCATTTTCCCCGGGCCTTGAAGGGTGGGTGAGGGGACAGGAGTTCATAAACTAAGACACGAGGGTCGGGCAGTCGGGAGCAGCAGGGCCCCATTCTCTGTGGGGAGCAGAAGATGGTCCGGGAAAGGCAGACTGAGGCCGTGCAGTGAAAGACTTGGAGTTCCATGGGAAGGGTATGGGGGACACGGAAGGGAAAGGTGATCAGAGCTGTGAACTCTGCAGCCAGGGTGGAGGGAGGGGATGAGACAAGCCCAGAGGCAGGCAGGAGTGAGGGTCCGGTGTGGTGGTCCAGGCGAGAGGGCACACGGCTTGAACCAGGGCGGGGATGGTGGCAGAGAGCAGCCTCAGACTGCAATGAGGACACAGGCGGTGAGACTTCTGGGTGACAGGGCAGTCAGAATAGATTAGGGGGAAGGATACTGTGTCTGTTTCTGTATATACATACTTGCCCACTCCCTCCTTTCTGAATATCATCCATCCATCCATTCATACATATGTACCTACATCTATCCATACATCCATCATCCATCCATCCACCCACCCACCCACCCATCCACTCATCCTCACATCCATCCATCCATCCACCCGCCCGTCCATCCATCCATCCACCCACCCATCCACTCATCCTCACATCCATCCATCCATCCACCCGCCCATCCGTCCATCCATCCACCCATCCACCCACCCATCCACTCATCCTCCTATCCATCCATCTATCCACCCACCCACCCACCCACCCATTCATCCTCACATCCATCCATCCATCCACCCGCCTGTCCGTCCGTCCATCCATCCACCCGCTTGTCCGTCCGTCCATCCATCCATCCACCCACCCACCCATCCATCCATCCACCCATCCTTTCATCTATCTGTGCTCACTATATCCGTTGATTTCATTCATCCGTCCACCTACGTGCTAACATGCCCATTTCCTCACCATGAATCTATTCATACTTTCACCTATCTTTCCATTCATTTATTCACTTAACTTTTCTCCCACCCTCACTCCTGATCCCCTTTACTTTCTCAGTCCATCCCAGAATACTGTCCATCAATACACCAAGTCATTCATCCATACCCAACACATCCACCTACCCATTCGTCTTTCCACCCCCCCACTGGTCTTTTTATATATATCTTCTTCCTCCCTTCTTCCCTTCTCCCCTCTTCTTCCAATTATTTCCTCTCCAATGGTTCATCCATCTAACTACCCACCTACTCTGTTTATCCATTCTTCTATCTTCTCTCCCTCCTACCCACCTCTTCCACCTTCTGTGTATACCACATAGCCATATGCCCAGTGTTCATGGTGGCTCTGGTTTACAGCATAGGTTTGAGTCCTGGGACCTTAAGTTGGCATTACATCTATCCGTGCCTTATTTTCCTCCTCGTAAAAATGGGGTTGTACCTACCTCAGGGTGTTGCTGAGAGGATTAACTGAGTTAATGCCGTGTAATGCTGTTAGCATAGCGCCATACCCATAGTCGTTTCTTTTATTATTTTTATTGTTCTTTCCTACATCCATCCTCCATGTCCATCCTTACCTCCCATTACTTCTACCCATTCACCTGCCCTGTGTATGATTTTACCCAGCCATCTGTCCATCAATACACATATCCACCAACTTTATTTAAACATCCATCCTTTTCCCGTTGTACATCTCTCTAACCATCTTCCCACCTTCTATTTCCTGTTCCCTCCTTTCTTCCCTTACTCTAATTACCCATCCATCAATTAATCTAGTGATTCATGAAGATAATTCATCTCCCCTCTCTTCTCAACTTTCTCATTCTTTTTCTCATTTACCCAACTATCTCCTACTCCATGTACCCCATATACCCTGTTTCCTCCTTGTATCCACTCATTCCTTCTTCCATCACTTTTACCCATCAATGTACAT